ATTTTATTTTAGAAATAAACAGTTGAAAATTATCACATTGATTATTTTACACGTATCGAGATTATTTACACATATCGGTAAGTTAATGCTACTATACTACTTACACCTAGTTTTGCTCGTCCAAATAAAATGTGTAGTAAATATATGTATGTCAGTGTATGGTTAATTACTGATTACCTTTTATAAGTAATAACTAGTGGTGCATAGCGTCGTGCCCTGAGGCAAATTGCTGGAACTTCCCGTACCGTAAAGAAATATTCGAGAAATTTTTAATGTTTTCAAATAGATTATTATTAATACTGTAACCTTTATTATTACTATTTTGAAAGCATCTTTTAAATTAGACGATGACGTCTATATATGTTCAGATGAAAAGTCAATATACAAAACTTAATTAAGTGGAGTTAGAATAAAAGAAATTACCTTAAATTTCCAATTGTAACAATTATATAAACTGAATTGCAAAGTTAAATATATTTATTTCAAGTATATAAGAGAGCCTTAGAATTTTAGCTAGAATTAAAATTAAAATCCAAATCGTTTTCGATAATAAAAAAACCTTTTCAAATTAAAAAAAAATAATAATTTTGAAATCAAAAATTTGTCGGCCTTCCCCAAAAACTAATTATTTCTTCACACTGTCCGATGCTTTGTTTTTTCAAAAACTGTCTCCGAAAGTTTGACTTATCTTTGCCAAAAACTAATCATGACGTTTTCCCATCATTACAAATTGAATATTTTTTATTCATTCAAATCGGATACTCTGTTTTTTGAAAAAAATAATTTTTATTTTCAAACTCTTTGCTCAGTATCTCTGAAACGGCTAAACCTGTCTTTACCAAAAAGTAATCAATAAAGTTTTTTGTATAATTCAAATCGGTTAATTGATGCTTTCCAAATCGTCGACTAAAAATTGTATTCATACATACACAACTACTACGCACACACATACATACATCAATATTTTCTAAGGTATGCCAAAATGTTCAGAAGCTTTTGAAACTCTGAAAATTTTGGAAACATTCAAAACTTTTGAATATTGAACAGATTTCCGTTTTGAAAGTGCTGATATATATTGAAAATTCGGATTTTTTTTTTTTTGATTTTGAATTTTCTTGAAGGTTTTTGATACCCATACATATCGTTCGGTTGATTCAAATTTCGACCGCAAAATTATTTTTTTTTTACTTTTTTTATGGTACATCGAAACCGCTGGAAACCTTATTTCTGGAACGACTGGACCAACTTTTACCAAAATCTAATTAGCACGTCTCCTTATCAATAGGAATCGAATGCTTTATGAATAATTCAAATTAGGTAAGCAGCGTTCACAAAATCGTGGACGAAAAATTGTATCCATATCTACATACATAATACATATATACATACACACATCCATTTTTTTCTAAGTTATGCCAAAATATTCAGAAACCTCTGAAACATAAAGATATGAAAAAAAAATCGATTTTTGGATGATTACTATAACTTACCTTACGGGAAGTCAAAACTACCCAATAACTAATTAGTAGTTAGTGAATACCCGTATAACTCCTTATAAAAAATAAAAATTATTCAATACCTAATTAGTAATTAGAAATTACATTTATAAGTAATAAAATCACCCAATAATTAATATTACGTAATTTTGAAAGAACTATAAATGTTCGAGATTTTTCAATGAAATCGCGGCCTTATATTGCCTTATTTTTCTCACCGGCTGTGCAAAAACCCTCAAATACTGCATCACGACATCACAGTATCACAGTTGGCCCGTACATCAAGCGCACTCAAAGCAAAAGCAAGCCGTACTCTCTCGAGTTTCGTAAATAAATTTAGATTTAATGAACAAACGAGTTTGTTTTCCGACAGTACTTTATGTTACATTGTTGCTTTACTCGAAAAAGTAATCTGTTTTCTTATAAATCAAGACTGTGTAGAACATGTATGTTCGATCGAGGAAATATTGGCTCTAGTTAGAACAACTGCGCTCCTGTTTGTATCGTTTCAAACGATTAATTTACTAGTATATAAATAATGATGATTTATAAATTTTGGGTTTTGAAGCTGATGGAATTTTATTAACTTCCCATAGTATAATCGTCCAAAAATTGCAATTGAAAATTTTTGCATAAATTTACGTTTGAAGAAACAAATATGTGTGTATGTATGTATGAATAAAAAATGTTGTCCATGTTCGCGGGAGCATGGATCAAGCGATTTAAATGATTCAAAAAACATTCGATTCCTATTGATAGAGAGATATGCTAATTCGTTTTTGGCAAAGGCAGGTCTAGCCGTTTCGGAGATACGGAGTAAAGAGTGCAGAAAATATATATCGAGTTTTTGAGAGAATGGAGCATTCGATTTGAATTATCTAGAAAACATTCAATTTGTAATGAAGGGAAGAATTAGTGATTAGTTTTTGGCAAATGCAGATCCGGCCGTTTCGGAGATACAGAGCTAAATGTGCAGCAAATGCCAGTTTGAGAATCAATGTGATGGCTGGTTATACATTTTTTTTACTCTACTTTCAAATATTGATGTTAAAAATTTTCAACTTTGCTGGTTTTTAAGAGATCGATAGTGGACTTTTTACCCGCGGATCTTTAAGCACCGCTAAACCCAATCAAAATTTTCGAAGCCTTTACGATAAACAATTCGTAGCTAAATTTAATGAATTTCGATATGATTAAGCTCAATCATTATTTTAAAGCTTTCCAAAGATCACCACTTCAGTTATGTATCTATTAGTTCAGTTATATTATTATCAGTTCAGTTATATTTTTTTCTTTAATTTATTTATAATTTAACATAATATAGTACATATTCGTAGACATAAACATTATTAATAGTTATGACTACCACCTTAAAATGTAATCTTGATGATATTGTTCTTAACTTGAAACTCAATTACCATGTGTTTATTTTATAGTCTCATGTCTATTTATAGAAATTGTATACTTAGTCTGTTGATGACTTTCAAACAAATATTTTGTGTCAAAAGACAAAATAATTAATTCAATCATATTACTTTAGTTCTTAATAGTAATATTAAAGCGACTAATCTTGGAAGTATGATTGTGATGATATCGATGGTCGTTTTTTTTGGAAAAGTGATCACGAAAAAAATATTTATTATTATTTTGGTTCCGAAATCTCCAAAACGGCTAGACCTGCCTTTGCCAAAAACTTCTCCCTATCAATTGGAATCGAATATTTTTTTAACCATTTGGTTCGGTTGATCCGTGCGCCCGAAAACGTGGACAAAAATTTGTATCCATACATACATACACACACGCACAAACTCACACATCTATTTTTTCCGAGGTATGCCAAACTGTTCAGAAACCGTCAAAATGTGAAGATATGCAAAAATTTTCATTGCGATTTTTGGACAATTACTAAAACTTACCCTACGGAAGTTAATAAAATTAAATAATTAAAAATATTTATTAATATAAATATTTAATAAAAAATAATTATACAAGAAGAAAAAAACTAACTAAGATTTACAAAATAGAGTCCAAAAGCTATACTATTTTAAAGACGTACAAAAAAAACATAAACAAATTATTGTTACGTATTAACTTACATAACTGAGATTGAAAAATTGAAACTGATATAATGTTAATAAAATTATAATGGTAATTCCATCATTTTTTAATACAACTATACTCAAACAAAATGTCAGTTGTTTCATTATCTTAATTATTATAGAACTAATAGATGATGACACACATTCTAAATAAGTGTACTAAAATTTTAGGTATATGTAGTTATTCTTTGAAAATGCTCTTAATTAAAGATTATTCAGGAAACCTAATGAGATTCATGAACTGGATGAAATTTAACTTAATGTTTCTTTGGTAATTTTCCGAAAAAATTGCAAAAAAGAGTTTGTGATCTTCAAGAATATGCTCTAATATTATAGGCCTACGAAAATTGATTCAAATAGAAAAATCCAGTTGAGTGTGGAATCATGGGCCTTGTCAAAATTTCAAAAAATGTTTGTCATTATTTTAAAAATTAATAAAACTAACTTATTATTGATTAAGTCGAAAATTATTATGAGAATAATAAGATGAATTGAAATTATTATAATAAGGTGAATAATAAGATTATTCACACATATTGGGAAGTTTTTGCAACTTGTTTTCAAGACAGATTTACATTATATTTTATGTCATATTGATATATACTTTTATATACAATACTGATTTAAAAATATTAACTAACTTCCTGAAGGAAAATTTTAAGTTTTCTCGACGTTTCAAGCCATACTGAATCGAATGATACCAAATTTGGTTATATTGTGAAATCGCATCTGTGTGTGTGTGTGTTCGTCGAAAAATGTAAAACTTCTCGTTTTATTTTTTGCTCACAATATTGAATCGATTTTAAAAAATCAAAAATGGTTTGCAAAATATTGGTTCAGAATGATTCTGATTAGCTTTAGGTACAGATCGACCGATTTGTTTTCTTGTAATTATCTGTTGAAAAATTTGTTTTTGCCGATTCTTATGAAACTTTTTTCCACTATAGATGGTATGGTCAGTATAGAACATACTGAAATTATACAGCCCTACCGCAAGTAGTTTAATTTTTAAAATTCATCAAAGTTTGAAAATATCATAGTCAATAGTGTCAAAATTTGTTTTGTTATGTGTAGAGTGAAACATTGTCAATTCATTAAAAAGTGGAATAATAAACTACATCTTTAGGATTTAAAAGCAGATGTCTGTGCAATATAATTAATATAATTACAGAAAATTTAAATATTTTTAGAAACATTAAATTGGAAATTGCATTGTTAAGATTTAATTGAAAGCGAAAAATTATATAAATATCTAAAGTCTAATTTCGATTCATTAAATCAATTATTACATCTATCGGGAAGTTTTTGCAACTCACCTTAAGGCAAAATGCCACTTTCAACTAGTTAATGTTTCTAACATATATTTCATTGCTTTTTATATAATGATGCATGATATTTTTTTCAGATATACCTTCGTGCCCGACATAAGTGCTAAGGAAGTCCTGGAAGCAATTGCGGAAGCCGCTTTCAAAACCAGCGATTATCCTGTGTTGTTATCGTTTGAGAACCACTGCAACCCTAGACAGCAGGCGAAGATAGCTTCGTATTGCAGGTAATGGCGTTTTTTATTATTATTTTTATAGGGCACTATGTAATTTGCTAATTAGTTTTCATCCGACGTGTTTTTTTTATTTTATTGCGAGTTGCCATAACCACTACTGCACGCGCTCACACCAATTAAGGCATTTCGTTATATAACGCGGAAATTTTCTATGTGGCACATGAGTTCGTATGTAATGTTCTGCTTGCGACATTTCTATATAACATAATGTTACTCTTGGTGCTGTTTATTAAAGTTGTTTGTGCAATTACTTTGCAGAGCAGCAGCAAAAAAATGAAATGTTTATACTTTTTTTTATAAAGTAATTATATAATATCATTTGTAATAGAGGGGAGGGCGAGGCACAGAAATCTAATTTGACTTTGAGCAATTATATTGTGAAAACCGTAACGAATTATTTTATAACAAATAACACATATTGGAGCGATTTACTTGACGTCGTTGTTGATGCTTCGATAGTGGACTGTAATTTGTATTAATCGACGAAATGCAAAATCCCCACGATGATTGTTTTAGAAAATGAAACTTCTATTATATTCAACTTAATTTTATTCTATATACTATTTTACAAGACACCTCCTTATTCTTTGCCTGTTAATGCTAGACTGAATATTCATTTTGAATTCCAGGCCCGACGGAATACATTTTATTGACATATTTTATAACCTAATTATATGAGCCGTCGAACCTGGGCAGGATCGTCCCTGTTTACGGGATTAACAAACCTTTTCCTAGCCGTTATATGTAATAATATTTTATAATGTTACAGCGGCGGTCGCACCAGATGTTCTGGTTTAAAAATTACCATTCTCCGCCGCCTTAATTATTCACTTATAATTAAGATCAGTATGTATATAAGTATGTAATTTTACAATGGCATTATGTACTAATTAAAATAACAAAGTAATTGTGAAATCATGTGAATGTATTGATCACAACAGTTTATATAAAAAAGGATTATTGACGAATACCAAAATGAATTTCATAGTAAAACATAGTTCTTAATACTAATTTTAAAATAAATGTACTGTGTAAATAAGGAAAGTACAGTGATATATTTATTTTATAAGAAAAAAAAAATTCTATTCTACATCTCCTACCGGTAAAGGGCACAATTTAACAATTGGCCTTATAAATATGCCATTTTTTGTTTTAACTGTAGCTACTCTCACATTTTTATCTTTGCCGATTGCAGTGCCTATAACGCGACCCAGTAACCAGCTTAATGGAGGTAAATTATCTTCCTTTAAAAGAACTATGTCGTCTACTTTTAAATTTTTTGAGGAAGTTTTCCATTTGTAACGACTCTGAAGCTGACCGAGATACTCTATGGACCAACGTTTCCAAAATTTATCTTTTAATTGATTAAGTTGTTGCCAAAGTGATAATCTACTTAACGTTACGTCGATTAAGCTGGGTTCCGGAAATGCGGTAAGTGCTTCACCTATCAAAAAATGTCCGGGGCTTAAAAACGTCGGTTCATTACTACCATCAAAAACACTTGTAATTGGCCTTGAATTAACTATTGCTTCTATTTGGGTTAAAACCGTGGAAAATTCTTCGTAAGTTAGACACGTTTCTCCCACTACTCTTCGCAAATGATGTTTAGTTAATTTTACCGTGCTTTCCCACAAACCACCAAAGTGTGGTGCATGGGGTGGATTAAATTTCCACTCAATGCCCTCTGCGGCAGCCGCGTGAATCACCTCATTTCTACTATGCTCATTTTTAAACAAATTATACAGTTTATGTAACTCATGCCTAGCGCCTATGAAATTTGTACCATTGTCAGAAAAAATGTGACTGCATTTGCCTCTGCGCGAGATAAAACGTTTCAAGGCCGCTATAAATGTGTCGGTTGTCAGACTGGTAACTAGTTCCAGATGTATGGCTTTTGTACTAAAACAAATAAAAAGTGCTATGTAGCCCTTCATTTGCGGTGCTTTTCGTAGCCGACTTGTACGCAAATTGATTGGGCCTGCATAGTCTACTCCGGTATTTAAAAAGGGACGAGCTATGGTTACTCGTTCAATTGGTAGATTTCCCATTATCTGCTGAGAGCTAGTACAATTAAACCGAAAACAGCGCACACAATTTTTGATTATACGTTTTATTGCGATTCTACCTTTGATTGGCCAAAACTGCAGTCTAACATTAGCTAGAACGGTCTGTGGACCGGCATGCAATAGACGTACATGTTCTCGTTTTAAAATTAAATTTGTTAAATGATTATCGGCTGGAAGTAACAATGGAAACTTTTGTTCGTATTCTATGTTTGCCATTTGTATTCGACCCCCAACGCGTAATAGACTCTTGTCATCTAAAAATGGATTTAAACTTAAAATCTGTTTATCTATTTTTGTACTAGCAGACCCGCTGTTCAAATATTTGAGAATGTTTTCAAAATTTTGTTTTTGAACGATTTTAACAATATGGTGTAATGATTCCTGTAATTCGGTTACTGTCAGCGGTCCAACATTCTTCTGCTTCTTGCAGTTTTTAATAAACCTAATACAATAAGCCATTACGCGTTGGAGTTTATTAAAACAAGAAAATCGTAGGAACATGTCGTCCATCCTCTGTGCACAAGTATTTATTTTTATTTGAACTGTTTGTTAGGGAACTTCAAAATTTATATTATCCGTTACTTTAAAAATTGACGGCCAGGAGTCAGTTTCAAATTTAAGCCATGCTGGACCATACCACCACAAGTCCATGTTTATTAACTTATGACCGTAAATACCGCGCGAAATGAAATCTGCCGGATTGTCCGTTGTCGGTACATGTCGCCATATTATATTATTAAGAGTTTGTATTTCCGCTACTCTGTTTCCTACAAACTGTTTTAATTTTTCTGGCCGCGTGATGATCCAACACAAGGTAATACTTGAATCACTCCAAAAATAATAATTATCTACTTTGAAATTCAAAGACTTAACGGTATTTTTGTATAATCTTGTTAACAATAGTGCAGCGCAGAGTTCAAGTCGAGGTAGGGTTATCGATTTAAGCGGTGACACTCTAGATTTTGAACATAATAAGCGTACTGTAGGCTCCCTATTATGATAATTAGTTTTAATGTATAAACAAGCTCCGTAAGCTTTCAGGGAGGCATCGCAAAAACCATGAATTTCAATCCGATCAATTTTGTCTAAGTCAAATACCGGACGCGGAATAATTATATTTTGCATGTGTATTATATTATTTTCAAAATCGAACCAACGTTTCATAATAGTGCTATCAACAACTTCATCCCAACCGGTTTTTAGTTGCCATATATCTTGCATTATTAATTTAGCTACAACTACGCAAGGCGAAATAAGACCGAGAGGATCGAAAATTTTGGCAATAGATGATAAAATGGCGCGCTTTGTTATTTGTGATGATGAAATTGAAGCATTTGAAGATATTTGAAATACATCCCTCTTGGGGTCCCACAGTAAACCCAAAGCCTTAATTATATTTTTATTATCGGTTAAATTGAACGCATTCGTTTCGCGATTTTGTAAGGGAACGGAATCAATAATGCTACTGTTATTAGCAGCCCATTTATGCAATTGAAAATTGCCACGATTAAAAAGTTGTATTAGTTCCTCCTTTAACTTTATTGCCTCTTCTAATGAATTTGCACCCGAAATAATGTCATCGACGTAGCAATCGTGTTGGACAGCGCGTGAAGCTAAAGGAAAGCTCTCTCCCTCATCTAATACGAGTTGGTTCAGACAACGAATAGCCAAATATGGCGCACAAGCAGTTCCATAAGTAACTGTAGATAAATTAAAACATTTAATTTTATCATGAACATTTTCACGCCATAAAATTCGTTGCAAATCTTGATGTTCTTCCTTGACGCGAATTTGTCGAAACATTTTTACAATATCCGGGGTCATTACATAATTATACGATCTAAAGCGCAGTAAAATAGTAAAAATATCCTGTTGTAATTTTTGTCCTGTATAAAGAACGTCATTCAGAGAAATGCCTGTTGATGTTTTCGCAGACGCGTCAAAGACAACTCGGATTTTGTCACACCCATTTTTAAAAACCGCGTGGTGGGGCAGGTAATATGCAAATGAATTTTGTGAAATATTTTGTTCGAAATTAGGAACTTCATAAGCATGCCCTAATTTAATATATTCATTAATAAAATCGCAATATTGTCGTTTCAAATTCTCATTTTTGTTTAGGCGAGATTCTAAATGTAAAAATCTACGCTTTGCTTGTTGCAATGATTTGCCTATAGCTGTTGAAGCATTTGGTTTTAATGGTAATGCTACGGTGTATCGACCATTTATATTTCTAGTTACGTTATTTACAAAATTCTCTTCGCATAACCTATCGTCTAAGTTTGGAATTTCCTCGTGATCAATCTCTTCTATCTCCCAAAATCTCGAAACTGCTTTATTTAATGTAAGATTATTTACAATAAACGTTCTTTTATATTTTGACAAGTTTTCATTGTTCGGGTAGGCTAATCCGCAAACAAACCACCCAAACACTGAATTTTGTAAAACCGGCAAATTATGTCCTAACGATATGCTTTCGTGCCTTAAGATTTCAAAGAATGAACCGACCCCGATTAACATATCGATATCGCCAGGTATATAAAACTGCGGGTCCGAGAGAGTAACATCTACAGGTAAATTTAGCTGGGACGGATTTATGTAATTCGAAGGTACTTGGTTTGTAATTTTTTCTAATATGACGAACGATAACTGTTTTGAAAAACTAGAAGACTCGTTTGAAATCGATACGCGTGCTATTGAATCGCCATTTATATTGATGCCATTAACTCCAGTCAGCTGTACGGAGCTTGGAACGGTTTTTATACCTAGAGAATTCACTAACCTTTGGGTAATAATATTTATTTCTGAACCCGTATCTAGAATGCACCGTACACGAATTTTTTCCCCCGAAATATGTTTGACAAATAAGCAAATAGTCGGTAAAAGAGCGCACGTGTTATATATATTAGCATTCAAAACTTGTGATGCAGGTAATACCGCAGCAGACGGCCCGGGAGATTGCGGGTTATTTGCTTTAGTTTGCAGACTCTGTTCTAAATGTAATAAAGAATTATGAGGTTTATGACACATTTTACATTTATATTTTGATTTACATGATCGGATTGTATGTCCGTCACCTAAACATTTCAAACACATTTTATTTTCGCGAATGAAAACTAACCTCTCTGAAACTGGTTTTTCAATAAATTTGTTACATGTAGAAAGATGATGTGCATTTGTACAGAGCTTGCAAACTATCGCTTGGATATTTGAAACCGAAACCAAAGCTTTTCGTTTGAAATGAGTTTTGTCCGGGTCTATGTCTAACTTACGAGAAAGCTCCAACGCCAAACAATTATTTTCCAAAAACTTAAAAAGTTCCGATACAGTCGGCATTTCCTTTTGTGATCGAAAGGTATTAAATTTTATTTTGGTATCTGTATCTAATTTATTTAATAATAAAAAGGCCATTGAAAGGTCCCAATTTTCAACTTTTATGCCCAGCGCTTTGAGAGAATTTAGATTTTGCTGTGCAATATTCAAAAAAGATTTTAAAATTTCGTATGTACCCTTCGAACACGTTGGAATATCCATAATTTTTTGTAAATGTGAATAAGCAATTATACACGTGTTTTCAAATTTTGCAGATAACAAGGCCCATGCCTCAGAGTAATTATTGTCAGTGAGGGCTATATTATTAATTATAGCGGCAGCTTCTCCCGACACATGACATTTCAAATAGTACAGTTTTTCGACATCCGATAAATTAATATTATTGTGGATTGTGGATGTAAATAAGTCTCTAAAACTAATCCACTTATTATATTTACCATCAAAAGTTGGAATTTGAATATTCGGTAATTTTATGGCTGAATTAACACAATTTTTACTATTATTTTGTGTACTATTTGAATTGTCTATGTGATGCGTGAATTTAATGGTTAGCTTTAGGTAAAGATTATCTATTAAAACATCTTCATCCTGCTCGTCAAGCGAGTCGTGGATGGCTGCCCTAACCTTTTCGTACTCCGCGAATCTATTGTCAAACATGCTTTTAATACCTTTTATCATTTCTGAAGAATGTTGATCCCAATTATCATTATTTAACCTTTCAAGATAAGATTTGAAGCTTTGTTGCCTTCTTAAAAGTTTTTTAAGTTCTGCCATTTTAATTGTTTTTAGAACTCAAGATAACTTAATTTAATTTTCTGATAGAGAAGCGCAAACCGTTACAAAATTTTACGTATAACAGGCGTTATGCAATATCAGCGGTTATATCAGAATTTAAATCTATAATTAATTGATTATTTAACAATTCTAATTTAATATTATTAGAATTGGAGTCTAGTACATCAATAACATAAGTTGTGGTGTAAATAAATTAACAAATATATAAACCAATAATTAGTAATGTTTATAATAACTAATATAATATTTCATAACAATTAATAACCTAAGGATTTACGAAATTGGCCCAAAATCTTAGAGCAAGATCCAATTTCAATCAATAATATGTCCAGGTTTATATAATGAAATAAAATTATGGCTTATCTGGTGTAGTGTAGTTTTGACGGAAAACGTGGTGGTATCTTCGAGTGGATCCAAAATACTCGTACTGGAGAGATCGCTGTTACTCGGATGGTGCTTCACGTTCCTGGTGAATGCCTCAAAAATAGTAGGCTGGTCGCTTCCGGCGTCGCTATCGTATCAGTATTGGATTACGGCGGTGCTTCGAATCAGTAATGGATTCGACCAAATGCAGCAAAAGCGTCCCTTAATTTCACCGTAAATTACACGTCTTTACAACAACAATAACTTTGTCAATACTTAATTCACTGCACACAACAATTTTAATATTATTAGGTGTATTTGTAAGATAAGTTTTGAATACTTTTACAGTTTCACTTTCACAATCACTTTTAATTTAAACTCAGTTATTTAGATACATTTATTAGTCAGTACTAATAAGCTTTTGTCTTGATAACTGGTCTGTCCAAAGCTTGAATGCGTGGCTCAAAACGTTGATTAAAATCAACTTTAAAAATCTGGTTCGAAGTTGACCAAATGGAGCGATTTACTTGACGTCGTTGTTGATGCTTCGATAGTGGACTGTAATTTGTATTAATCGACGAAATGCAAAATCCCCACGATGATTGTTTTAGAAAATGAAACTTCTATTATATTCAACTTAATTTTATTCTATATACTATTTTACAAGACACTTCCTTATTCTTTGCCTGTTAATGCTAGACTGAATATTCATTTTGAATTCCAGGCCCGACGAAATACATTTTATTGACATATTTTATAACCTAATTATATGAGCCGTCGAACCTGGGCAGGATCGTCCCTGTTTACGGGATTAACAAACCTTTTCCTGCCGTTATATGTAATAATATTTTATAATGTTACAGCGGCGGTCGCACCAGATGTTCTGGTTTAAAATTATCCACATATAAAACAAAACAACTGTCTGACTATGTTCAGTAAAATCAGCTAATTTATCATTGCAGAAATATGCTTTTTGCTGTTTTTTCAAAAGTTTGTATCCTGGTCCTTTTCACCCTACAGCCGGGGTGAAATGGGACAACCTGGTGGCAAACAGATTCAATGTCTCAATTTAATCTCAAAGGGATTTTACGAAATTATGATCGCATTATTTCACCCAATGTAAAATATAAATTTCGTGGTTAAATTTTTTACAGAGATAAACACTGTATATAACCTTGATCTGGTATTTTGTCAGAAATATCATCAGCAGATCGAGTTGGAATAATTATTTATTTAATTCATTTTTTAAACAACTGCTTCCTTAACTTGATATACTTTTTTATTTACAAATTTTTTAGTGTCAACATCTTTAGTGGTCCTTTTACCCCATTGACATGTAAGCGTTTTATATAGTTCTATAAAAGACTATATAAAAATTCTGAATCTAACTTAAAAACTACAATTATCATATAAAACAAATAATAATCTATACATTTTTTTTTTTTTTTTTTATTATTTAATAGACAATCAGAAGACAAAGTTTCTATTAGCCTATGTGATAAATTATATTTGGCGTTTAGAGGTCTCTCCATTGAAGAGATCCTCTGCTAGAATTATTCTATAGCTGTCTGTATATAATTTAATATTGCAGGTCCTTTGGTCATTTCTTCTTGAGTCTTCTTGTTTGAACCATTTTGTGTGATGTTGTTTGATAATTTGTATTTTCAGCGTTCGAATGATCATCGATTTTGTTGTGATAAGAACAGCTCCGGGTCTTTATAATTTCATTTACAGTTTT